AAACAGGGTGCTCCCTGCACAGTGTCCTGTGCTCCAAACACATTGTGAAATCTCTTTGTGTGTCTACAGTGCCAAGGGGATCTTCAGGTAGGAAAATCCACTGAGAATGTCCTTCTCCTGCCTCTTAAGAAGTTTTGTTTCTGTTTAGTGAATCATCACTATTGATGGCAGTGCTCTGTGAATTGTATTAGGTGAAAAGTCTGGCCTAGGTGCATGCCTCAGCTCCAATGAAGTTAGAATATTTTCACTAGTTTATATAGCTATTGAATCACATCACTACTGAAGGCTAATGAGACACCAAAATGAGTGATGCTTGGAAGGTTATGAACTAATTAAAAAGTGAGCCCTTTACCTCCCCTTTCCTGTCAAGATAGTTTAAATTCAAACGTAGAGAAAAACTTCCCAAACAAATCAAATATGGATTATGGATGGTTTAATTATTCTTGCATCAAAGTTCACAAAGCAGGCCTGTTTTCTGTCTACACCTCACTGAGTTTGTGGTTATTGTGAGAAGAGGGTGACAAGTTGTTCCCAAAATATCTGACACGTTGAAGGCTTAATAATTCCTCAGTGTAAACCCGTGATGTTTTTTTTCCCCCAAAAAACTTAATGTGACTGCACTTTTCTAATGAGAATTTTATGATGTTAAAAATACTGTATTTATTATCTTTGATTCGTGAAAGCAGAGGCTGATTCAGTCAAAACGGAATACTACTGTCAAACTGTTTCTCAGTTCCAAAACTACATCTGTTAGTGGAAATTTCATCCCATTTTTCTCTGTTTTCTGCTTTCTCATTCTGCTGACATCAACATATAGTGACCTCATCTTTAAAAACTGAGTAGGAGTTTAAAAACAGTCATACTTTCATCCTCTCCTTCCCAGCTAAATACTTCATTTCAGTCACCTTGTCATTATGAAATAAACACATCTGGTTTTCCTTTGCTGCTCTGTATTCTCATGCAAATCAAGAGGGTATCTATATATCTTATCACTGGAACTATTTACAACAGGGGGAACACTGTGCTTTATTGAGCAATTGAGCTCATTAAATTAACAGTTTATTTTGGCATGGACCCCTCTACCGGTTTGGACCAGGTCCCTAAATGTTCTTTGTTCCGTCTCATCTGTCATACAATCCTAGAATCATAGAATGGCTTGGGTTGGAAGGGACCTTACCAACTTCACCAACTGCCAGATTGAGTCCAAGACCAGGACTGGGGCTGCCCAGGGCCCCATCCATCCTGGCCTTAAACACCTCCAGAAATGGGGCATCTCCAACCTCTCTGGGCAACCTGTTCTAGCACCTTACCACTCTTTCAGTAAAAACCTTCCCTATGACACCTAATCTAAGTCTCCCTTCCTTTAGTTTAGACAATTCCCAGTTCTATCACTATCTACCCATGTAAAAAGTTGATTTTCCCCATGTTTGTAAACTCCCTTTAAACACTGGAAGGCTGCAATGAACTCTCCCTGCAGCCTTTTCTTTTCCCAGCTGAACAAGACCAGTTCCTTTAGCCTGTCTTTGTAGGAGAGGTGCTCCAGCACCTCTCTGGATCCTCTTTATTGCCCTTCTTGGATCCACTCCAAAGGTTCCGCATCTTTCCTGTTTTGGAGGCCCCAGACATAGACACAGTACTCCATCTGGGGCCTCACCAGGGCTGAATAAAAGGGCATAATCACTTCACTTGCCCTGCTGACTACTCCTCTTCTGATGGAACCCAGGATAACACTGGCTTTCTGGGCTGCAAATGCACACTGCTGGCTCATGATATCTTTTTCAGCAACCAAGACTCCTAAGTCCTTCTCAGCAGGGCTGCTGTCAAGTGTTTTTTCTCCCAGTTTGTATATGTATCTGGGATTACCTAAACCCAGATGTAAAACCTTGCACTTTGCTTCATTGAACCTTATGTTCACAAGGTCCCTCTGGATGACATCCTTTCCTTCTGCTGTATCAACCACACTGCTCAGCTGCATCATCAAACTTGCTGAGGGTGCACTCAGTCATTGTCCTGCACTCACACACACTCAGAGACACACTTTCAGTATGGATCAGACAGATTTTCAGAGGGCTGGCCACAAAGATGCTAGGCACATATGAATACAGACCAATAGGGACTCCAGACATGCATATGTGTTGTGCAAACATGGTTTCTAGCATGTCTGTTTCTCACATGTTCTATCTATGCTTGCTTCTGTTAGCAGATGTAACAGATGTGTAGATAAACACAGACCACTCTCTATCCTCCGGCTTTCTTGCCTGCTTTCCTAATATATTCTGTTTTTTCTGCTTTGCTACCTCTTCTGCTTGATCATGAGCTTCCTGTCTAACCTCATCTCCTATATTAGAGAATTCTTATCTACCATTAAGGGTTTTCTGCTTTTGTTTTCTTCACAAGGTATAATGTCATAATAGGGTTCTTCTTCTATTTCCCAGTGTCTACTTTCACTCAAACAGTGAAACAGTGCAACAAATAGTCCTGTAGCAAAAAGATGGGTCACTCTTTTCTATCTCCAGTTTTAGCAGCTGTGATTTTTATCCCTTCTTTAGTGTCTGTTTGGAAGTGACTGAGAGACACTTTAAATAACATGAATTCTTCCATTTCCTCCCTGCATTTTCACTAAGGTCAAAAAGTGTTGCAATCAGCCTTACTCATATGGAGAGCTGGAAGGTACATCATAAATGGTGATTTATTCTTCAGAATCTGGAATTGTCCTCTAGGTGTCTATAACATGGAATTATCTCTCTGCTAAATTATATAATGACCCAGATCAAAAAGGTTTTCTTCTTTATCAAAATCCGAAAATTTCTGGATTTATTTCCAGAAAATCTTCATATTTTACTTGTCATAAAACCCAGAACAGTTTAATTGATTTGCTGAAGATCACAAAGCCTTACTCCCATTTTCTACCTCTTTCACTAAATAAATAAATAAATAAATAAATAAATAAACAAACTCAGACTATAGACTGAGTTTATTAGCGGCAGCCATTTGTTATGCCTCTGGCACATCAAATGCTCAAACAGCTGGGAACCATCATTTGAGGTGTTCCTTATGGCTTATCAGTGCTGACTCAAAAGTTATGGAATTAAACTTCTCATAGCAGTTCTGCATTGCTCAGGGTCATTGGAACACAAACTTGCCTTTTCTTGTTATGTTTCTGTGATAAAGGATAATAAAAAAAAGGCTTTTTTAAGTATGTTAACAGTAAAAGGAAGACTAGGGAGAATGCGGCTCTCCTATTAACTGAGGGGGGTGTTCTGGTAACGAGGGATGCTGAGAAGGCAGGGATACTGAATGCCTTCTTTGCTTCTGTCTTCAGTTAAAAAGCTCCCCCTCAGGAATCCCAGACCCTGGAGGTTAGTAAGAGGGTCTGGGGAATGGAAGACTTCCCTTTAGTCAGGGAAGAGACGGTCTGAGAGCACCTAGGCAACACCAATGTTCATAAATCCATGGGACCCGATGGGATGCACCCATGGGTGCTGAGGGAGCTGGCAGAGGTGATTGCTGAACCGCTCTCTCTATCATCTTGAGAGGTCTTGGAGCATGGGGGAGGTGCCTGAAGACTGGAGGATAGCTAATGTCACTCCGGTCTTCAAAAAGGGCAAGAAGGAAGATTGTCAGCCTGTGTCCCTGGCAAGGTGATAGAATAGCTTGTGCTAGATGCCATCTCCATACAGCTGGAAGAAAAGGTTATCAGGAGTAGTCAGCATGGGTTCACCAGGGGGAGGTCATGCTTGACCAACCTGGTAGCCTACTACGGCTGGGTGGATGGAGGGAGAGCAGTGGATATAGTCTACCTTGATTTCAGCAAGGCATTTGACACTGTCTCCCACAGCATCCTTATAACAAAGCTGAGGAAGTGTGGGATAGATGAGTGGACAGTGAAGCGGGTTGAGAATTGGCGGACTGGCAGAGCACAGCAGGTCGTTGTTGGCAGCGCAGAGTCCGGTTGGAGACTTGTAACTAGCGGTGTTCCTCAGGGGTCGGTGCTGGGTCCGGTCCTGTTCAACATCTTCATCAATGACCTTGCTGAGGGCATAGTGGCCACCCTCAGCAAGTTTGCTGATGATACAAAGTTGGGAGGATTGGCTGACATGCCTGAAGGTTGTGCTGCCATTCAGTGAGACCTGGACAGGCTGGAGAGCTGGGCAGTAAGAAACCAGATGAGGTTTGACAAAAGCAAGTGTAGAGTCTTGCATCTAGGGAGGAATAATTGCATGTACCAGTACAGGCTGGGGGATGACCCGCTGGGGAGGAGCTCTGCAGAGAGGGACCTGGGTGTCCTGATGGATGACAGGTTGGCTACAAGCCAGAAGCATGCCCTTATGGCCAAAAAAGGCCAATGGCATTCTGGGGTGTATTAAAAAGAGCATGGGCAGCAGGTTGAGGGAGGTGACCCTCCCCCTCTAATCTTCCCTGTAAGGCCTCATCTGGAGTACTGCATCCAGTTCTAGGCTCCCCAGTACAAAAAAGACAGGGATCTCTTGGAAAGAGTCCAGTGGAGGGCCACAAAGATGGTGAAGGGCTTGGAGTATCTTCCCTATGAAGAAAAGCTAAGTGAACTAGGTCTGTTTAGCCTTGAGAAGACTGAGAGGGGACCCGCACCAGGTCTAGAAATACCTAAGGTGTGGGGGGCAGAATGGCAAAGTCAGACTCTTTTCAGTAATGTCTGGAGACAGGACAAGAGGAAACAGCCAGAAACTGGAGCATAGGAAGTTCTACACAAATGTGTGCAAGAACTTCTTTACAGTGAGGGTGACAGAGTACTGGAACAGGCTGCCCAGGGAGGTTGTGGAGTCTCCTACTCCAGAGATATTCAAGACCTGCATGGACACCTACTTGTGCAAGGTATAGGGAACCTGCTTTGGCAGGGGGGTTGGACTCATGATCTCTGGAGGTCCCTTCCAACCCCTGCAATTCTGTGAAATTGCACCATAGATATGAAAGATGTTTAGAAACACCAGCAAGTTCACCTTTCTGCAATTTCTTTTCCCATTTCTGCATTGAATAATACCACAACAGTTAGATTAATGTAAGTGTTAGAATTACTGGGGCTGGAATTCAGAAGTTCTACAGACATTACTATCCAGTGGTTCACTCAGATCTGTCACATACCATAATTCTTTTTGTTTCCATGCAAATTGACCAGAAAAAGCTGCAGGTCTGGAGAGCCTTAACCTGAAGTACTTTTTTTATTCCGTTCTGAATTTCTCACATTGCTGGGGAAAAAATATATACAAATAAGAAATGCAAAAACTCCCATTGATTTCAATGTAACAGCAATTTTAGCCTCTTATTCAACATTAGTCTCTATCACTTATTTCAGAAAGCTCCTAACTGTGCTGGATGAGAATACAAAGAGATAATGAAATCAATTTAAAGCCACACCATAGCTGCCATGTTTTATGTTGCATTTCACCAAAAATTATTCTTAATTAATGGGGCAACTGCTGCCTTTTTTTTTTTTTTTTTAATTTCAATACTTAACAAACACAGCTGAAGCTTCCATAGAATTCAGGAGGTTTGGGTGGACCAGCAAAGAATAACTTGAAGATGAGGATGTGAAATTTAAGTACTTCAATTCTCTTTTTGCTTTCTTCTTGTATCATCTGCCCATTAATATGAGAAGTTCTTTTGTTATGTGAACATACTGCAGGAATATGACTGAAGAGAAGATCACACAAAGCAGCAAACAGGAGAATCTGAGTCAAACTTTCTTCTTCTCTAGATAAAGGTGCTCCAGGTACTTAATTTCCATCTAGTTTTCTCCCTCTAAAGTTTACTAGCTTTCTACAAAAGAAAAAGTATTAACAGAAAGAATAACCTTAAAAACCATCTAATAGAAATAGACATTTATCTGTGGTGTCTGGATTCCAGGCATTTTCTGTCATCTTCCCCTTTTTTCCAACATCACCGTTTGACTCACTTCCATACACTTTTACCTAGTTTGGAAGATTTCCACTGCTTATTAGGCCATAGTGAGCCACTCTTTAAAAACGATGTATGTGGACCCTGAGGAAAACATCTTTGCATGTTTTGAGGCAAAAGATTACAGTATTCTATTATGTCCCCAGTGCAAAATTATTGAGGGAAAAAAGACCACTAAAGCTGAAATGGAAAGTTTTTAAACTATAATTTATGGATTCATTTTGTAAAACCAATATATTGGTTCTTAAACTAATCCCTATTGCTAAGCAAATCAACCTATATCAATCCCTCATTTTTCCTTTATGGATATCTTTTGGGATTTTTATATCCTAATCCTCACCATCCTCAACTTTTTATATTTAGAGATGCATTGCTCACATTGAATCATACAACTAGCAAAGATATATATAATAATTACACACTCTATCCACAAGAGTAACTTCTTTAACCAATCCAATCTGGGAAGCCAGCAGGTCATTTTGGTTAAAATTCCAGCTTATGTAATCCTGGTTTACTTTGTGCAGTATTTCAGTTTGGTGTCATATCTAATATATGTCTGTCTTTATTCTACCACTCTGATCTACATAAACACAACAACTAGCATTTACTACTGCGCAAACTCCTCCTTGTGCAGCTAACAACATACATAAAGCCGTCCTATTTTGCAGTACTACCCTGGCCAAGCTTTGGACTTCTTAAGGGCAATAAAAGCACCTAATGTTTCATTTCTGAGGTGTTCCATAACTGCTGAGATGTTTACTATAGCCTTTTCCAGTTCTGCAACTCCTAAAAAGGGAATTAACCACCTAGCGAACGAGTGAAAACTACTAAGCCTTTCTACTAATGGATTGAACACTTCTCTCCCAACCTCCAAGAGTATTCAGTTCTGTATTATTGCAGTTAACTGATCTGTTACACATCACCTTTGGCATTACTGTTCCTAGGGTACAGGTTGTGGTCCACCTTTGTAATACCTTCCAAACTCAGTCTCCACATAATCATCTTTTTTCTTTATCTGATACCCAATATTTGTGCATGTTTTTCAAAAATACTTATCTGTCATTTGTACTATCCATTTACAATGTGTTTATTTTCTTAGTGAAGCATTCCCTATTTGATTAGTCCCTTCATCTATCAGACAGCATTCATAGACTGGGTCCCTACAATCCATGTTTGTGATTCTATGTATTTATCTGCAAAGTACTCTGTGGATTTGTTAACAAATACTGTATCCCAACTTTGTTACAATAGTGTAATGGTATTTCCCATAATAGGTATGGACTTACCACATTGGCAATTCCGAGGATATTACTGCTATCAGCAGCCACCTTTTTCCATCAACTTCATGTGCTTAGTTTTGACCCAATGCATCCAAATGATAAGCATAAGTATTGCTAAAATTTACTATCATTTTAGACAAAAAAATATATATATATCCCTTAAATACTGCAAGAATTTCTTTTTTAAATAACTAACATAAGCAAACAATTAAGGCAGTTAATAAAAGGCAAAAAAATCACTATATACTCTAAAGGTAACTATATTTCAGTAACTATATTCAGGTTCATAATATGATTAACCATTTCCCTGTTTACAAGTTGTGTTCATTTACGTGAAAATTTCGGTTTCATCAGTGCAGTCTGTTCCACTTACCACTGTGGGTTGGAAGCTTTCTTTGTTCTTGTGTAAGAGTCTACTCCTTCCACCTTGATAGCAGGTGTGCATTGTAGTAGTATTTTATATGGTCCTTTCCACTTCTTTGATAGTGGTTCAGAGCTCCAGGCCTGTAGATACACCCATTTACTGAGTTGGAATGGATATACTGTGACTACCAGAAGTGTTGGTGCTGCCTGAGCCACAAATCTCTGGTTAGAAGATAAGACTTTCACTAAAGAGATGACATTCTCTTAGTTTTAATTCATCCAATTGGTTTACATCAATACTACCTGCCAATAGCTGAAACGGTCTTCCATACATAATAAGGATACATACATACGGACCAATTACATTAAATATTTTATAATATAATAATAAATTAAATACATAAGGACCAATTTTCTATTTAGCACACTGTTTTACCATAAGATATAGTAAGATGAGGGGTAGGGCCTCAAGCCATTCCAAGTCTGTTTCATAACAGATTTTACTAACATTTTTTCAAAATTTGATTCATTTTTTCCATCTTTCCACTAGACTGTGGCCAATACAGAGTATGTAACTCTCATCCTATTTCAGTAATATTTGTTAGGTTTTGAACAACTTTAGCTACAGAAATATGAACCTCTATCTGATGTTATCCCTATTGGTACCCCAAATCTAGGGGTTCTTTTAAGCAAGATTTTTACTACTTCCCTTGCTTTGTTGGTGTGACAGAGATAAGCCTCTGGCCATCCTGAGTAAGTATCAACCAATACCACTAAGCATCTGTAGCTAGCTTGCGTGGGGAGTTCAGAAAAGTCTACCTGCCAATTGTTTCCTGGGCTGCCTCCTCTCCTTGTAACTCTAGAAGGTGGTCTTTTTGCATTCTGTGCATTACATTTCAGGTATATTTCACACTTGTTTAGCATGCTTTTCACAGTTCCTCCCATCTGCATGCTTAAAACTTGAGTCTTTAGACTATCGATGATAGCATCTAATTTCCAGTGTATATCCCAATAATTATCTTCTTGGAGAACTATTCCCTGACTGTTTGAAGTTACCCACCATCCTGTTTCATTTTTCTTAGCTTTTAGCAAGGAAGCCAATTTGTCTTATTCTGTTTGATTCTTTGGAGATTCACCAATCAATTCTTGATATCTCTAGGGTACTAACTGGAGGAAAATCCTTTTGCTGAGTTTTGGCTGCTGTATCTGCAGCCAAAACTATCTGTATATAGTTGTTGCCCAGACTGATATTGTCATTTCATTGGTGGCAGTGCATTATTAGCAACTTCTGGTAATTGCACCTTTTCTAACAATTCTATTATTGTTTCTCATGTTTTACAAATGTTCTCTGGTAGATTAATAGCCTCCGTTCTTTCCAGATAGCACCACGCACATGCACAACCCCAAATGCAAATTTTAAGTCCATCCAGATGTTGACACTTTTCTGTTTTGCAAAGTCGAGTAGTCTTAACAAGACTATGAGTTCTACTTTCTCTGCTGAAGTGGTAGTGCCAGAGTTCTATCTCTGGTTGTTACAGCATACCCAGCCTTCTTAAGCCATCTCACAGAAGACTGCTACCATCCACAAGCATTTTCATATCTTTAATTTCATATGCTCTTGCTTCACCAGGATTGCTGGATCACTTGGTAGTTCATAATCCTGCTCCAGGATAACCAGTAACTTCCCTTTTGATTGATTCAGTACTGCAGTAACCACATGCGGGATTTACAAAGTTATTTTATTTCCCAAAGTCAATTTTCTGTCCTCCTGGATTGTAGTTGGAACAGCTTTTAAACCGAGGCTTTCCAATTTGAGGTTTCTGGAGGACTACCACATTCTGGAGTCCATCACCAAGTTTTCCATTTTTCCTTTTAAGACTTCATACAGCAGTTAGCAAGCTAAAAATACTCTATCAAAGGCTCTAGTCTCTATAATTCCAAGCAGTATTTTGTCTTACTGGTGCTGCTCCCACCTTCAGCTGGATAGTTACTGTTGCTGGTTCAGCTGGGGTCTCATCCCCCTGTCCTCCTCTTTTTGTATTTATTGCCATTATATCCATGGCCTTTGAGAGGTCTGGCTCTGATCTTCTGGATCTCTGCTGCTGTTTCTTTGTGAGCAATCCCACTGCCAATGCCCAAAATTCAAACATTGTCTACACTGATCAAGTTCCAGAACTGAGATCTCTGGCCTTATATTCTCTCTTCTTGGTTCCAGCATCTACGTTATACCTCTGTATATACTGTTTTGTTTGTTTGTTTCTCCTCATCCTCCTTTCAGTTCCTTGCACTATGGCCAATGCCAGTAATTTCCTGTCTCTATCTTCTCCTTTCTTTTGCTTTCTGAGTTTCCTCTCTGTTCCCTCCTGTGAATTCCTCAAGCCTCTTTATTTTTCTCCCCAAACATTCATCATTACAAACTGGCTCAGCTCTCTTTGATCTTCCAGGCAACTCTCCTGCCTAGGAAAGATCCCATTTTAAAATTTTAGTTTTCTCTCCAACTAATCTCCACCAATTAAGGGCTTCGGTGGCCCTAGTAAATATAAAAACCAATAGCATCTACCAAATTTCAGTTTTATCTCTGGCCCTGGCGGCTTCCAGTGTTAACGCTAGGAGATATCAGGTTTCCTGGATCTCTGCAGATAAGGACATTCTCTCACTTGTAGTATATTCCTCCCCACCCCCAGGTAACACTGTTTTAGAACAGTAGTTCGCAAGTGTCTCGGGCCCCAGCTCTTCCGTTTGCGAGCCACAGGGGGGCGGTGCCGGGGTTTCTCCTCACACTACTCATTTGTCTTGGCAAACCACAACCAATCATAACAATCTAAATACACAAGAATCACAAGAATGGAAATACACTTTATACTGGACAATTGTCCCTCCTCAAATTGCTAGGTAATGGAGTCTGCCGGCTCCCTCAAGGCACGATTGTACGCTGAATTCCTACAAAGATAAGCCATAACCAATATCCCCTAGCAAGATGGGAACTTTACTTTTTTTTCTTTTTCTTTTTCTTCTATCCCCCCCCCCCTCCCCCCCCCCATATTCCAGGTTTCCACAAATAATTTTAATCATTTCTCCAATCCATCAATTATTACAGTTTTCAACAAGTTTCCTCTGCAATTTCCACAACCGACTCCACCATGTCTGGAATGTCTGGAATGTATGAACTGCCTTCACACACTGCTGCAGCTACAAAAGTAAGAAGCAAAGCTTAACAGACTGCAGATCCACCACATACACACAGCGCGAAGAAACAAAAAATGAAAAGGTCAGCACCGTTACAGTAATACTCACATACAAAATCACAAAACCAGCAACCATAATGCAGCACAGTTATCAATAAGTGACCAAAAAATGAAGCTCTCTAGTTTCTCTTGGGGGGTCTTGAATCTCTCAAGTCCCACCTCACCACGTTACTTTTGGGAAGACATACAGCCTGGGGGGTACTTCTCTCAAGCACTCCCCTTAACAGGGACTGGCACCCTATTTCTCTTGAGGGGCTTCTCTCACTATGTTACTGGCAAATATGAAACCTGTCCTGCACACTTGGGATGTCTCCCTACTGACATGTGGGGTACCTACTCAGGGGTACCCCTTTACTCTTTCTCTCCGTACATGATAGAGATTTCTGTCACACTTTACCAGAGGCAACTAAAAAAAAAAAAAAAAAAGTGTTTTACCATATTCCAGGGAACCTGCAGCCAGACCCAACAGAGCTGGGATAAAGGGGAGCTCCTCAGTAATCACTCGAATAAAATAAGTGTTTAACTGGTACCAGAACAAGCAAGCCCACCCTGCAAAGTAAAAAACATGAAGTACAGTCCTTGGTCAAGATTTATGCCTGGGCAAGGGCCCCATCCACTTGGCCTTCTTGCTCAGACAGCTTGTAGCAGACTCCCACTATGATGTCTCCTGCTCTTGCTTTTCCTTTAATCCTCATCCATAAGCTCTCTATCAGTTCCTCATCCATACCCAGGTGGAGCTCCATGGACTCAAACTGGTTGTTGACATAGAGGGTAACACCCTCTCCCCTTCCTATCTTTCCTAAAGTTTATCTCCATCTACTCCTACATTTGAGCTATCTCATGTCACCACAATAATGCCAGTGACATCATAGCCCTGTAGGTATGTGCACATCTGTAACTTCTTGCTTGTTCCTCATGTTCTGTGTGTTAGTATACAGGCATCTGAAATGAGCTCTCCTTGAGGCTGATTTACCAATTGGAGTTCCTTTATCTAGCACTTTAGGCACCGTCTTCCTGGCCTGTAATCCTAGGCATCATTACCATCATCAGTCTCAATAAAGGATGGGTTAAGGATACCCTCCCTCAGCAACTCTAGTTTAAAGCCCTCCTGACTAAATTGGAAAGCTTGTTGTCCCTTCTCTGAAAGATGAACCCCATCCTCTCTCAGAATACCAGATTTGTCAAAGCTAGTCTCACAGCCAAAGTAGTCAAAGCCCACTTCATGACACCTCTCCTTTAACTGTTTACTGATTTTCTGAATTCTTTCAGCCCTTACCCTCCCCATAAAAATCAATGAATACATAGGCGTTATAATTAAGAAATATACAAAAGAGTTTGGCTAAGCAGGTTATTACACTAAAAAAGAACAGATAGAGGGCTTACCCTTGTCCTGGGCTTGCTGGAAAACTCTAAAAGGAGGAATCTCCAGAAAAGATCCTTCCCCACTGGTAATCACTCTTAAATGGGAGTCTAGGAAAGGTGGAGCCAAGCTCCACTCATTCCAGCAGCACAGGTGAATTGTCTTCACCAGCCCTCACTCATTGCTCACCTCAGGTACTCAATCAGAAGTTCAGGCCATGATTCAGCAGTTCCCATACTCTCCACTTCTTCACAATACGAACCAATGATTGAGACAACTAAACAATGGGACAGATCTCTAGTGGATCTGTTGAAATCGGAGATTTGAGACCTAATTTAGAGTTTTTATTTTCTTGATCAACTGAGTTTGTTGATTCAGGAGTCTGGTCAGTGGTTTTTGAAATGTTACAAACTTGACCTATTGGAAGATGCAGAATTGGCTTCTTCCCTGCTAATGTGCCAAGTTCATGCACTAACTTTCCCATGCGATCTTTCAAAAGTTGGTTTTCATTTTTTAAAGTATTATTCCTTATTTCAGCATGAACTAAAGCATTTAATAATGCTTTTCTAAGCATTTCTATAGAAAGGACATGATGTAAATTTTAGCATACTTGGCCTGCTGGCTCATCAAATGTATAGACAAAGAATAGATAGGTGGTATAATTAAGAAATATACAAGAGAGTTTAGCTAGACAAGTTATTATACAAAAAAAAAAAAAAAAAAATAGAGAGAGTACTTACCCTTATCCTAGGCTTACTGGAAAACTCCAAACAGAGGAATCTCCAGAAAAAGTTCCTTCACTCTTAAATGGGATCTGAGAAAGCAGATCAGGTGAATTGCCTTCACCTGTGTTCAGAGGGCTGACTCATTGCTCACCGCAGGTGATCAATCAGAGGTTCAGGCCATGATTCAGCAGTTCCCATATACTTCCCATCCCTTTAAATGCGAGGATTCATGAGAAGATGACTTGTGCTTCTGAGTTCTTCACTGTTACTTCCTGCTCCTTGTAGTCCCTTATTTTTCAGGTTACTCACAGCTATGTCAGTGGTGCTTATGTGAAGCAGCAGCAGCAGGTAGTAGTCAGTGGAATATACAAGATCAGGTAATCTCTCTGTCCTTTATGCAGGCCCCTGGCAAGCAGCGAATCTCTTTAAATAGTGAGGCATGGTTACAGATGAGTGCTTCTGTACCTCTAAGAAGAGAATCACCCACCACTCTCACCTGTTGCTTTTCTTTAGTTGCTGTAGATGCTATGCAAGTCGGAGTTGTCTGGCTTCCTTAGTAAGTTTTGAGGATTTATTACAGTTTCTTTATTCTTTTCTTTCATAGTTCTGCAGAAGCTTCTCTGGTTTTGAGGCAGGCTTCTTAATTATGTTAGTCTCTGTCCTGGCAGTTTTCCATTTCTGACTGCTGTTGGCTTCCCCTCTGACTGGATGTGTTTCTGGAGGTGTTTGGGGCTGTTTGGCTTCAGACTGTAGATTCAATGCAGGTTGCATGTGAGTCCAGCTGTCTATCTCCATTTTTGCCTCCCAGATAGTACACAGCCTTTTGACTGTCTTGTAAAGCACAGTCACCTGTTGCAGGAAGTCCTCTCCCTGGGCATATTTTATGCAGGTGAGTTTGCTACCCACCTCTGCTCCAGGAGCAAGGACCAGGCACTTCCCATAGATCAGAGTCTGCATAGCTGCTTCTGCCTTTAACAGCTCAGTTTGGGTGGAAGCAGTGGTCATGTCTAGAGTAGTTCTGTGAATGGTGCATATCCCCCATGCCAGAGCTGCAGTCTTAGAAACAAATTCTACTTCAAGGGTAGTTGGAATGAGCGCCCTTCACTTCTGCAGCTGGCAGAATCACAGTGTCATGCTGTGTGAGCTACTACTCCAGCTGCTGCCCACCTTAACTGCGTCTTTTGGGGGCACAGGTTTGGCCTTTGTATGCCCTGGCAATGGCTATGCCGTGTCAGCCTCTCTCACAAGAGCTGCCAATCGCTGTAGGTTTGCTTCTCTGTGTTTCCCCAGCAAGGGAAATCCCTAAAACCTTATACTTTGAGATCTGTTGCTCCAGTTCTGACTGGGCTGGATCCAAAGCAGCTGCTCTTGGCAACTGAGTCTAAAATGGCCAATGCTGTTGTAAAACATGGTCAAAAGGAGAAATTAAGATTTCAACTGATCTGATCTACAGGATGTGAAAAAACATAACTGACCTGCGTTTACCTAAGAACTGTTAGCAAACTGTTTAGCAGGCTGTTGGTGGCCCCAGCCCTGTTCTTTAAAGACAGCTGCTCTTCTCTACCAAGCATCCCAGCCCAGCCCATCTCTCAGCAGCAACCAAACATCAGTGACCTATTAATGCTGTCTGGGCTGAAACCAGAACATGGGGAGAGTGCAGTGTGGTGTGACTCAAGTCATGGCAAGTAATTTTATGCATCTTGATATATAAGGTAAACACAGTACTATGAAAGTGAAAAATAAGCAGTCTTTCCATTCTGATACCTTAATTTATGATCAGATTTGAAGATTGCTGAAATCATTTTTTCATATATTTGCAAATCCATTTTCAGTTGACACATTACCTGAGAATTTTTAAATGGAACATATAGTTGCAATCAGATAGATATTCAACTCAAAAATTTGATCATGTCTCTTTACTAGCCTTCTATAAGAACTATCTTACCAGAGAAAAATATCCTTCAATTCAAATTCACACTGTATGTCTTTCCTTTTTGGCAGTATGTATATTTGTGAACAACTGAAAGCAGAGGAAGTGTAAAATTTTATCAAAAATCACACTTTGAGAACTCACTATGAGTTGCAGCCACATCAGTCGAATCAGACTGATGCATTAGTTTCACAAAGACAAGGTCAAATATCCCACTAGTGTTGTGGCTTTATTGCTTTCTTTTTATATTTCAATAAAAATATTAATAGTTATAATATATATATATTTTACTTATATGCATTAACTATATTATGTATTTTATGAGGTCTGCTCTAAAAGTAATGCTTCCTATTTTCTTACATTGGCCCACAGTTTCATAGGCAGATGTTGGTGGTGTGGCAGTAGATGTTGAACTTTCCCACAAATATTCCATTATATTTTGTTGCTCTGTGACAGATGTCAGCAAAAGGTCAGTCTGACAAAATAATTTTTGATACAGAAGCATGTCTGCAAGCAAAGGTGTAGAACTGAATTCCCCCACGCAGAAAAAGTTGCACCCATTGACAGTCATCAACGCTTGCTGCACATTGATGGAGACCAAATAGTGGATGTGAGCACAGTTAGTTGGTGGGTAGTGTGTTTCAGCAGTGGCAACAGAGACTATGAATCACCTTCACAAGTGCAGGTTTTAACAAGCATGGCATACAGGCTCTTGTTCATCACTGGCGAATATGCAGAGCTAATGGCGATGATTATGCTAAAAAATATTTGTAGCTGAAAATTTGCTCTATCAGAGTTACCGTGCTCATTGTAGTTTCCCTGAAATTAAATAGGAGGCATTACTTTCATTGTGGCCTATGTATATGTAGCCCAAAACAATTCCTTTTCACTCAGTGAAGCCTAGGCTTTGTGCACTAAGGTATAACTGAAGGACAATTCAGAACTTGCAGATCTCTTATGAGAAATCTGTAAAGGATGATGATACAGCTGTGCAAGTACATAGAATATCTAACTTCTGGTGAAATAAGTTTTTCAGGGTCTGCAGGGATCTGTATACTTTGTCATATATTGTCAGTAAACTCTCAAAAGAGAACGGCAATTTCAGAAATATGTATTTTCTCATGTAAGAATTCGAACAAATCTCTCAAATTTGATGTTAATATACTTCTGTAGTTTTCAATAGTTTAGGAGTAAACTTGCAGATGAGATACAGTGAGTCACAATTCTTCTCATTGAGTTCCAATACAGGTGCTATAGCAGAGTTTTGATGTGATGTAACTACATATATCTCAAGCGACTTTTGTAATTCTTTTTTTTTTTTTTTTTTTTTTTTTTTTTTTTTTTTTTTTTTTACTGAACCCAAAGTGACTAAGGTATTATGTCTGTTTCTGTGTGTGAAAGGAATGACAAAACCACCCTGGGGCCAAATTCTACTGACCTGACTGAATCTCCCTTACGAATCTCAATCTCGCTCTTCATCTGAAGACTGGCTAGGTAGATAGTTACATAGCTGTAAGGGAATTAAGTCCTTACAAGAGCAAAGGTCCTTAATAGAATTAAGATACTGTTCAAACTTGACATTTTGTATGTATATATTTCATAATTTTTATTAATTGTAGACTTTTTTTTTTTTTTTTTTTTTTTAATATGGAGACAAATGTTGTCTCTTTAAGATTCCCCAAGCAGTACATATGTATATATAGAGATATCTATTTGTTGACTTAAATACACTCAGGTATATGTGCTTGAGATTAGAGATGACTGGAACCCAAGCATCTTCAAGTGTTTCCTGTTGGTTACAGGGCTGACTGGAAGTCACTGGTGTTTATTTTTAGAGTCCTATATGGCTTCAGAGCTATCAGTAAGTTAGATAGACTTATTTTTTGGTGCTGCAGATTTATCAGCAGAAGCAATCTTTTGGTGTTGACAGTGGGAAATCTTTATGCTTAAATTTCATAAGTCTACCAGGTTTATGAATGAGTATATTCTAGTATCCTCATTGATTGGCAATATATACATTCAATCATTTTGACCACAAAATATACTATATGGAATTTTCCAAATTTCATGTTGAGAGAAAAGTGCACCTGTGCAACATACGAAGTATGAAGATTTTGCATTACCTTCCAAGATTTTGTTTTCCTGTTTTTCCTTCTTGAGGGAGATGCATATTACTAACTACTACTATTATTTAAGCCCAAGGTGCTTAAGCTTCAGAAATATGCTTGTTCAATATGTATCTAGAGACAAGTCATTACTGTGAAGTACTGGGTTGAACTTTACCATAGCATATTATGGTGTTGTAACTTTCTTCTGATACAGAAACACAGCAACCATTTCATTCAGCAGCCTGTTAACTGGCAATAAGCAGCTTAGGAGAAGCTGCAAAGCTAGCCTTTTGGCACTAAAGGAACTTGATATTCATTTTATGTCCTAACACAAAGATTTAGGACAGACCCTATTGGGGAAATAATAAATAAATAAATAAATACATTAAAAAAAAAAAAGGAAAGGAAAGGAAAAAAAGATTTGGTCTGACCTTTTGTTCCTCAGGAAATTAAAGAAGCTTTTCAGGAAGATGAAGGATGAAAGAACTGAACCAAAGGAAATGGACACCAACCAACCAAAGGACCCACAGCAGTGGGATCTTGACTACAGCTTGGAACCTTTCACTGGGCTGACTCCAGAATACATGGAAATGAGTAAGATTCTGAATTCCCTTTCTGCAACAATAGTTTTTTCATAGGACTAAGTAACATACATTGCATGACTGCCATGACTTGGTATGATTAAAGGAAGAACACCAAAATACTTTTGTAGCTTTTCATGGAAGACAGCAGGGGTATGAGACTACTGAATTACCAACATAGAAGCAACGATAAGTCCTAGCATCTGTTACTACTTCTATTGTCAAAGAGTCTGGTGTTACCAGCTGGAAGTTCTATCACAGAATGGCTGTTGTTGGAAGGGACCCCCCAGATCACATAACCCAGCTCTGTTGACAGTTTGGTCAGCTGGAGCAGGTTTCCCAGGGCCTTGTCCAGCTTGGTTTTCAATGTTTCCAGGAATGTATATTGTACAAGTTACATGGGCAACCCATTCCAGTGTTTGATCACTCTTATACTTGACATGGTTCTGGCCCAGTCTAGAC